AGGAGAAGCTGCAGCCGCCGCCACTGCCTAAGGAAAACCCTTGGACCAAAAAGCCTCCCCAGCACCTGTCCCCGGCCGGGACGGGTCTGACGTCGCGCCCGCTGGAAACCTTGGAAGCAGGTCTGTGTCTCATCTACGGTGTGCACGGGAATGCTGCTGGGGGTGGGGTCGGGGATATGGGACGAGTCGCGGGACTTTGCGGCGTGTGGCGGCGGTAGCGGGCGCGGGGCTGGGGGAAGGGCAGGCCTCCTTTCCTTGTCAGTCGGAGGCATTTCGTTCCAAGGTGTCATTCACTCTGCCTATTTACATAAATGGACATCTGGGAAGGGAGCGGCAGGAAGAGGTGGGACGTCAGGTTCTCTTTGACTGATGGGGACATGGAGGGGGTAACTTGGCAGGGTACCCCCGCTGGCGCGGCCGCGATTGTGTCTTGCACCCACGTGTTAGTGCCTTGGGGAAGTAGCTAACTTTAGATAGATATTGCAGCGCATCGTACGGGAAATTTTTTGTAGACTTAAAAAAAAAAAAGCAGTTGAAGGAAGTTGGAGTAAGGGAGTTTATTTCTAAGTGGAAGCGCGATGGTAATCTTTTATTGTGAAATAATTGATAAGCTGTAAATCTGAAGGTTTTCAAAACACTCCTGAGTAGTCATATTAAAAATGAGACCTTAAATGTAGTTGCTGTTAAAGTGCTTTGAGTTATGATCGTGGTGGAAAATAATTGAAATAAGATAGTTGATATGAGCGAGTGAATTTCACGTTAGTTAAATGGTAGTCTTCTAATATTCAGTTATTTTTCTCTTACCTTTAAAGGAGATTGGGGTATGCCACTGCATTTGAATGCTGCGTTTGGTACTTTAATTTAGTCTTAGTAGCTGCAATTTTTTTTTAAAAAAGTTAAAATGGAAATGCTAAATAAAACAAAGACAAAAAGCAGTATCTTCCACTTTTGCTTTCTAAATTGTTGTAGTAAATTAGTTGAACTTTTTCTACCTAATTGAACTTTTAATATGGAAATTACAGCTGTTTACTTGCAAGTCTTCATTATTTCTTAAAATTAAAGGTTAACAGAGGGACAAGAAAAATTTGAACACGTTTACAGGGTTGTGGGGATCAAATGCAATAAAGGATGTGGCATTAATGCAAGACGATTGTATACACTTGTTAACATTTCCTCGGAGGAACCCTCCAATAGAGGGAGATAAGTTTTAATTGATTCTTTAGCTTTTGGACGGAAATAGTCTTCGTCAGTTCTTGATAAATTTTGACACTTGGGGAAGAAACTTAAGAATTTGCTCTAGATTTTTTTGGTTTTGTTTTTGGCGGCTGGCTCCGGACCTTGGTGTTATTAACACCACAATCTAACCATGCTCTAGATTTAATATTGGCATACTTAATTTCTAGCTGGGAAGATTTGTTTGTTTATTTCTTTTACTAAGTGAAGAGAACACCCTTAAGCAAAATGTCCATAAAATTTAGCAAAGAAAGCCCTAGTGAATCATCTTATTGGCTCACTCACTTCCCTACTTTTGGACTTACAATCATACGTTATATTCAGTAAACTACAAAAAAACTATCTCTTTGTTGATTGTTAAACCAATTTTACAGGTTTTAAAACTTAAAAACTTTCTAGGTGAGACTCAGGAATTTTTGTTCCAAATTACTTGTGAAAAATATTTAACAGTTTAATTAATCTACTGGTCTTTATTCTCCAGTCTTCACTGGAGATTAAGAACAAGGTGATGCTTGCTGATGTATGGTGTGGTTCATGGGAATTTCAATTTTGCTGATGTCTCTCTCTAGGCAACTGTATTTGTCTTTCTTGGAATCCATTCTGGGCCTGCAGGAATACCATTCTTCAGACCTGAAATACTGTAGCAATCATAATCTCTTCCCAACACTGAC